CGCTCGTCGGCTGCACCACCCCCCCCGGGCGCAGCCCCCTCCCTGCAGCAGGATCTTCATGTTTCCCTCCACAGGGCGTCGGGGTGCCCGAGGACAACCGGGGGGCGGGGGCTTTGCTACCCCCAAGACATTCCTTCGAAGACAGCAAGCTGGTTTTGGCCCAAATAAACAGTCTCGCAGGGCTTTAAAGCCCTGCCTTGGTGTTTAATGGATAAAGAGCAATCACAATCCTCCTTTGGAGAGTCCCAGAGACCCAGTTGAGCACAAGGTGCAGGGCAGAGGCCAGCCACGGGGTTACAGCTCCAAAAAGCACAGCCCTTGTGCCAGGTGAGCGTGGCGGCCAAGCCTTCCAGCTTGGCGGGAGGAAACACAGGCTGGGCCCAGGAACCCCCCTGGAGATGCCGTGAACATCCCACCCGGCCATGCTGCATGGCACAGGCAGCTGGAGCCATTCCCTGCAGCCCATCCAGGACAGCCGAGTAGACCATGGAAACATAGGCTCACGTGGTTAGAAAAGGCCTTTAAGATCATCGAGCCCAACCGTACCTGTCTGCTAGTAAACCACGTCTCTAAGCACCACATCTACCCCTCTTTTAAATACCTCCAGGAATGGACTTGAATTAGCGACCATTGCTCCAACAGGGCAAGGCTTAGCAAATCCAACAACGGCAGCCTCTGCAGCAAGACGCACTGGCACTGCTGGCAACAGCTAAGTGGAAGCATTAGAGGTTAAAAAAAAAAAAGAAAAAAGAAAGCTCACGCTTACCAAAGCTGGGTACAAGACAAAGCCAGCCCTGCTCCTGCCTTGCTTGCTTGTACTTGAGTTGTTACTTCCACAAGATCCCTGGGGAAATGTCTGCTTTTGAGATTTTATAACCTGGGGACCCACCTACCAGCGGTTTTCACCATGCATGCCACCAGTCCATATGGGAACGTGGGCTCCTTCTGAAGTCTTTCCCAAAAGGCAGCATTTTAAGAGTCAATTGTTCAAATCAGACTGGAAACCATGGTCACAGACCGCTCGTTTCAGCAATTTTCAAGAAGAAGTGGAAGAGGCTCAACCCTCGTGGAAATGGTACCACCACATTTTGTCAAGAGTTTAAATGCTGTTTGCTGACCATGAGAGACGACAAGTCACACCAGGTAGTGGCAATAGCTGAATGCCACACAGATAAAAAAACCCAAGTGTACAATATCCTCAGCAATAGCAGGGAAGTACAGCATTCGCAGTTACATCATTAGGTACTCCAAAAAACCAGGGAGAAACTAGTTTAAAGAAATAGCTGCTATGAATTAATGCTGCTGCTGCCAAACACTACAGTTAAATCTTTGCTGCTGGCAACGATCAGCTTTTGCTGGCCTCTGCACCAGGCAGCTTCGCTCTCTGCCAGTTTTACTCCTCCTGTGGTTGTGAGCAGCAGCAGAGGCGAGGAGAGCAGCCGGACAGGGCCAGCTGCCCTCGAATGCTGCAGAGCTAGGCCAGAAAGGTCAGCCTAGAAGCAAGACAAAATCCAACTCGTTTGAGGTCTTTTGAACACTTCGTTCTACTTCACCCATTACTTTAAATGAGATCCACTGAAGGCAATGCATGAAAGAAAGAAATTTTGTCTGAAAACACATTTTTTGTGATTTATTAAATCTGTACATACAGTAGCTAGTACTGCTCTCATTAACATATTTTTAACCATCTCCTCTGCTCATCCCTCCCCAGGTCAGCAGTCTGCTCTGTTGGATAAATGCAAGGCAAAGCCCTTTGCCTCCTTCAGTAGCCTGAACAGCAGTGGTTCCATTCAACCTGAAAGACTCAGCAGTCAAAAGGCAAGTTTGATTATTTTATTTAAAATTAAACATTTCTTTCTGTTCAGCTACTGCGTGTGGAGCCAAATATGGTGTCTGATCATTGTTAGTGCCAGGAAAAACTCCTCCATGAAAACTGATCCAAAATTAGAGACTTTAACAGCTACCAAAGCTGTCAGAGAAACAGCTTCTCAGATCTTGCCTTAGAAATGCAGGATTTGGGTTTACGCTGAAGCTTTTTACCATCTTAAAGCTCAAAGTTGCTCTTACCTGTTGTGAAGAGAGGTTTTATTGTTACTGAAAAACAGGAATGATTTTGCTATTTCACGGGGCATCAGGAGGTTCTGTTAAAAGCTAAATCTTTCATCTGTTAATCCAGACAGCACTGTGCAAGTCCCAAGTCAATATAAAACCAAAACTAAGCAAATTGAAGAAAGCTCCTTGGAAATGCATGTGTAGGAAAACAAAACAAACTAGACACTCCACTTGGGATTGTCATTTTCTCGAAGAATGCCTTTAAAAACCAGAAGAACACTCCAGAACAATCTGAAGACCCAAGGACTTTGGTCAACTGATTTCTGCCCTCAAATACTGGCTTCATCATTCCAGGTCAAATTTGCAGTTTCTACCACTACATGTGGTTTTTCACATCAAATCACCATAATTAACATTTGTAAAGTGCTTTGAGATAGTGCTACAAAAATACTAACAGTTAAAAGAAGGGCAGAACATCTACTATCAGCACCTAGCTGATTATTACTACTTGTTTTTTCCCCTCAGAGCAGCATCACTGTATTCTCCTTTGACTTCTTATTAACAACGAGCGAGGTGCCAGTGTTGGAGATGGCACACAGGCAAAAGGAGTTTCTGCAGGGCAGTGGAAGAAGGATGCGTTGGAAAACATGAAGATGTCTTCTGGAAAGATGAATGAAGCAGAGCTCCAGAGAAGGATGGGTATTGACTTCTCAGCTACGTCAGGAAAGCAGTGCCACATGCAGATTCATGTGCACAAAACTATGCAGGAGGCTTTAGACAGCATAAATATTTCCCAAACAAGGAGAGAGGTGGTGATGTTCTTAAAAAAAAAAGTAAAAAATCAAAACATTGATGCTTTTTGGGGGGAGGACATAACTTCTCATTGGAAGCTATTGCCTGAGGGCTGTTAACTACTTAGTAGTAAAATCCTGCTACCTTTCCAGTTGACAGTAACTTCTCTCTACTCAGCAACTTCACAAAAGCAATCCTTGTATGAATCCATAAAGCTTTCCCAGATTTTTAAAAGGTTAATTTTACCATTATAATTGCACTTTAGAAACAGGCAACAATCCCTACGCATTCTCCCCAAACACCTCCTCGATTTATAAAAGTGGAAAAAAAGGCTACAATTATTCACTGTCCTACAGCTACCAGGATTTTAAAGTTTTGATTTAGGTGCCTGAAGAAAGGTCGCAAACACCCAGTTTTCAGGTCAGGAAAAATGTGCATTTTAAAAAACCAGCAGGCTTCACAGCTTGGCTTGCATCGGCTTCAGGTGTTTATGGAAAGACTCATGAACCTGTAAGAGGACAAGACAGTGGTTACAACAAGGTCAGGCCTGAGCTTTAAAACAGTTTTAGCTCTTTACACCTTGCAGCATGTTTTTATACTAGGATATTTGAAATGGAGGCACTTTGGGGATGTAGCAACAGCCAGCTAAGTCCTGTATTTGAGTGTCTATGTAACACAAAGGATGAGAATATAAGCCAAAGCAAATAGCTTCCCCACTACCTTTCTTGTAACAAAAAAAAAAAAAAAAAAAAAAAAGAGTGCAAGACATTTTATATCCATACAGGCAATTCTTTGGCATTTTACTTCAAAGAAAACTGGTAGAAGTCTCCTAAGGGAACTGTAATGAAGCTCCTAAGCCCCCCATTGGCTTCAGAAGGACAAAATATTGAGCAAGTTCTGGTGGGATTTAACAACAATCGCAGTCTCTGGCAGTCCATTGTATCAGATAAGACTGTCCAAATCAAATAAAGGCAGTAAAGGCCACCAAAACAGGAAAAATTGCTTTGCAATGGAAGAGGGACACCGACTCTTCTCAGCTCAGTTTCTTTTATTAGCTCAGCTGTAGCTACAGCCTTAGGGCAGATATGCAACACTTGACACTTAAGTACTACATGAGAGCAATCTATTTTCTCCTCCAGTCACTACTACTGCCTGAAGGCACTGAAAGATTTGCCAGAAAACAGGTAAGGCTTTCACAGCTACTGTCACTAAGCAGAATTAACAGCAAGTGAAAATTTCTTTAAAATTCAATTGTTTCTCTAGGGAGAGTATGATCTCCTCCCTCAACTGAGAAACTCAAAAGCATCCCACAGGGATGCATGTGAGGTACACGTGGGAGAGTAACTGAAGAAAGTATGCTGAAAGCAGAGGAGCAGAAGTAGATTGCTAGTTTTGGTCCGTTACCACTAGTGACTCTTTTCCCCAGTTCATTGATTACATGCCAAGATCACTGGATCAAAATTAAAACCCCCTAAAATTGGGTTATTTCTCTGGACACATGTGACAAAGATGATGAAATAAAGTTTCTTTACCTCTGTTTTGTTCAGTGGGGATTTCTTTGCCCACTCAAACATGTTCTCGTAGACATTGCCATCATACCGGCCAAGCACAGATCCAAGATGAACATCATGAAAGTCAAATGAGTCTACCAGCGCTACTGCATTGGGACGAATTATAGCTAAGAGCTCTTTCACATACTGGTTCACTTGAGTAATTTGGGCATTGGTCAGAATACCCGCCTTGGAAAAAAGAAGAGATTATCAAAAGAGTATGCAAGTTGCAAAAACCTTCCCTTCCCCTGTGGTCTAACACAGGCCAGCCTTCCCCCCCACAAAAATGCAGCAGCCCATAAAACACTAGGGTTTTTTTTTCCCTAAGTGCTAAGTAATGAAATTGGCAATTTGCCATAGCACACAAGCGAAAGGAGATGTCTAGCATAGCTCACCATGTTGCCTAGCTATTTAATCTTTGACGGGAGATTGATTCTTCAGAATGCCTGTATGTTAACTTCAGTAGCAAGCTTTCTTGAAGAATGTGCTTATTAAATTATTCCTGGTTTCAGGGAATTTTTTGGTAAGCAGCAGAGAGAAAAATGGTGAGACAAAACATACCATAGCTGCCTGAAGACAAAATGAAACACTGCTGCACAAATACATTCTCAAACTGAAAGAATGAAGAGGAGTAATGCCTGACAATTTACACCCATTCACTGAAGGTTGGTTTAAAATTTGGAGTACAATATTCTCCTTTTGTGCACCAACTTACAAACACATGCAGCTCTCGGAGCACATCTAACTTACATCTCCTTTATTAATTCCTAGTTTTTTTTAACATACAACACCTGGTCACCAACTGGGAAACATTTAAGCTAGCCTAGACAGATCATAGAATCATAGAATCGCTTTGGTTGGAAAAGACCTTTAAGATCATCGAGTCCAACCTTTAACCTAACCCTGCCACCCGACCACTAAACCATGTCCCTAAGCACCTCATCTATCCTTCTTTTAAATACCTCCAAGGATGGGGACTCTACCACCTCCCTGGGCAGCCCATTCCAGAGCCTGACAACCCTTTCAGTGAAGAAGTTTTTCCTAATATCTAACCTAAACCTGCCCTGGCGCAGCTTCAAACCATTCCCCCTCATCCTATCATCTGTTACCAGGGAGAAGAGGCCAACCCTCACCTCACTACAGCCTCCTTTCGGGTAGTTGTAGAGGGCGATCAGGTCTCCCCTCAGCCTCCTCTTCTCCAGACTAAACAACCCCAGTTCCCTCAGCCGTTCCTCGTATGACTTGTGCTCCAGACCCCTCACCAGCTTGGTTGCTCTCCTCAATGCCATGAGGTGCCAATGACATGAGATGCCATGTTACCACTTATCATCCAGCTCTGCTTCTGGAAGATCACAAGGGAAACTTGACAAAATCCTTCTGTCAGACTTGCACTGCTAATGGCCTTCTGGAAGTCAACAGTCAAGACCTTACACCTAAGCATCCGTGCAACTTTGCATTTAAAGCATCTTTGCAAACAATGACTTTGTCTCTAGAGATTTAAAGTCTTGGAGAAAGACACCAACCTGCAAGAAATCCCCTGTGTTCTTATTGATGCCATACAGTGCATACAGGAGACACAGCTCAGTCATGACAGCACGGACAGCTGCATTACTGATCTCAGAGAGCTTTGCTGTGAAAAGCTTCACTACCACATAGTGACAGTGTGCCTATGAGAAATGAGAGGAAGGTGAGTCAGGTTCATGAAGAGATGAGAAGCTTTTATGGCATAACTCTTCATCAGACACATCACTGACCTCAGATGCTCGCACAAGGTCAACAGAAGTTCTGTTCCAGGCATCCTCCTTGCTCTTTCTGTGGTTTAGTTCAGCTTGCAAATTCTTTGCTGCAGCTTCTACAAGCCTATTTCACAAAAGGAAGAAAAACAGGTTATGCAATAACACCACATTAACAAGATTATGTACATGGAATGCATATGAATTTCAGTCTAACGCATCAGAAGAACTCAGAGGTCGTGTGCCACGACTGAATACATTGCCTGGAGTCAGCAGTTGTGGCTCTAAAACCCTGTCATCACTGCTGCAGCTAGAACACAGCTACAGTGGGGTAAGACGACACTTGACAGCACATACATGGTGCCCAAATACTTAGTCAGATGTAGGTATCTGTTCTACTCCCATACTTCCTTCACAGCAGGCTTTAATATCAGGATTTTTTCTCTCCAGATAAATCTCGGAGCAGTTTGAACAATGTTGGTGTTCGTATGCTCGAATATACTTTACATTTAAGTAAGAAAGATATTGCAAAACAGAACAGAGCAGAGTAACTAGGCTATGCGTAGGCTGTATGTAGCCTCTTGTAACCTCAAAGCACTTAATGCTGACCCAACCTAGTAAAACACGTCACTTCTTGAAAGCAACACATGAAGCAAAGCTTTGCAAACCACATTTTGAGAATCTAACATTAACAGGGTAGTACATCACTACCATCTCCCAAGACACATCATTTTATTGGTGCTTCGTTCAGTCTAGTAAGTGTGAACTCACCGGGCAGCACGTGCTTTGTAGGCCTCTACCAAGCTGACTGGATCATTGATCCGCACAGTCACAGTCCTAGCAACCACATGCTGTGGCTGAATGCGTTGCCTGGAGAGATCGTTAAGGTAGGACACCATGCCAGTAACCTGCTGCCCAGAACTAACTTGGTTGTAGCTTTTGACAAGGAACCTGAAAATAGAGACAATAGCAACTCTTACTCACAAGTTGTTTGAATGGAGAGAAGTCATCTTACTGAGGGTCAGGCTAGCAAAGAATAGTTGTAAGCAAGTAGTTTTCTGTCAAAAATAGGGCAAGGGACAGAAACATGGGAGACCAGTTTTGTGGTAATATGGGATACTCTTCACCTCATCACTTCAGCTACAAAGATCGTAATACCAAGGGAAGAATGCCTCTGGACAGGAGCTACCATACCTAGCTGTCTGCAGCATCATGACTGTGTTTTCTCCCTCATAGGTGCAGGATGGGGTGAATGTGACATAGATGTCAGGAATCCCACTGCACCCATGCCCACCACATGCCATCCGACATTCCTCAATACCAGCATTGGCAGACCAGGAAGTGAATGCCTTCAACCCTGCTGTCAGAGCATGCAGCTGATGGACAAAAGCAAAGCCAGTTTAGATTTTTTATTTTCCATTCTTAGCTTGCACACATACATGCTAAGTACTGCAACTCCCAGAAAAAAATCCCATCCTTCCAGTGTCCCACAGGGTCTTTTCTTGTAAGGACTCTTTCTTGAGCTGAACTATTTATGTGAAAGTCTCTACACATATAAAGATTTCTTCTGAGTATTCCCTACTTTCTGCCTCTATGCATTATGTCCAAGACTGTTTACAATTGCCTATTGTCACATTAGGTTCTCAGATAGAATCCCCAACTGAAACCTGACATTTTACAACCCTAACCCCTCAGTACAGTACTGATACCTTTGATCAACGCACCAGTTCTACCCTAATGCCCTGGAAGAACAATAAAGAAGCTACAGCACAAGCATAAGACCAGTCTTAGCTCTACTCCCAAGCAATATCCCATCATTCCTGGAAAGTCACCTCTGTAAAAAATATATTCACAGCAGCTTTCTCACTGTGCATTACTCCCTAGTTTTTTGTAAAGAGCTGCTAAATGAATAATGCAAATAAAGAAATAAAAGTCACCAGCACATACTGGCCTTGGGATCTCACAGTCTAAAGAATTACTAGACATCTCATGAGTGAAAGCCAAAAATGCTCGATGCCTTTTCTCCCATGCTGTAAAGAAACCTTACATAAAATCAATAGAGGGGACAGTACCTCTGGCAGCTCGCTCAGATCCCCTTCACTGATGTCTCCACTAATACGACGATAGGTGTCTTTTATGTAGGCTCCTACAAAGTGAAAAGCATATGCTGCTGCCAGGAGAGGAAAGAGTTTGTATTGTTGGGTCTGATAATCCAGGATCTGGGGTTCTGGTTCCCTAGAGCAAGATACAGATGAGTTAATACGCCAGTGGCTAACAAACTGCCACAAAGTCTTATGCAACTCTAAGTAGCTTCTCTGCTTGAATAGTACAAGCTGCATCCGTATCAAGCCAGACTATCTAAGACCATACAGCAAAAGCCTCTGGCAGGGGGAAGGCATTTTGGCAGTCAAGAATGAAAGATTGTTCACTTCTCAGGATGAAAGTGTTTTGAAACTATCAATTGCCAAAGCAAACAACATTAAATACAGTCCCTCTTCCCACCAGTATTTGGGAATTTTCCCTCAGCACTTAGGCTGCTCTTTTATTTCACTGCACTTACCCTGACTTTAGCTCAGACTGGTGTCTCACTGCGCTATAACGGATGGCAATTGTACAAGCCCGGGACAGGGAGCGAGCTGAATCGCCTACAATGAGAGACCGGATGAACACCATGGTCCCGTAGGTGAGCTTGTCATTAAGTGGTTTCACATAAGTGCCATCTGGTTCAACCTACCAAAAAAAAAAAAAAAAATACAGCCTGTTGACTTTTAGTTTCCTCCCTTTTACATGTTCACATCTCAAGCTCTAAACTCATCAAGTAGCACTTAAAGCAACCTACAATCTTGATGGTACACTATTCAACCACGTAAGAGTATCCGAAGTGTCAATTTCTAACAGCATATGCTGAAATTCACTGCTTTACCTGGGCATATTTCATCAGCATGTTTTCCCGAGGAATTCTGAAGTTGTCCATTTTCAGGTAGCCATTATCCATTTCATCGTAACCAAATTTTGGCCCAATGTCACCCACTGTAATACCTGCCAGAGACAAAGCCACTTGCATTAAGAAAGAGGAACTAAACACGACATGAGGTTCAAGCCTTCTCCAGTAAAGAGTCCGTTTAGTTTTCTAGCAAGTCCTGGTGGTGTTAGGAGTAACAGCTAACAAGGGCTTTAATCTCTTTGATGGAAAAGTAGACTTCAAAAAACAGGGATCTTCATAATTTACATGCAGTCCTAGTACCCAGTCACTGGGGGAGCTGTCTCTAGAGATCACCCAGCTCACTTGTAGCTAGAGAATGATAAAAGGTATTCTTTCCCTTTCAGAAAATAGAAGGACTTGCTGCCTCACAGAACATGTAGCTGGGAAACATTGGGGCAGAATCAAATCCCAAACTAAGCTTCACATTGAAAGTGTGACATGAAAGATGATTTAGTGGTAGTACTGTCATAAGAAAGACTGTTTTAAGCCCTGTGACCTACCATCTGCTCACTGATACCAGCTAGTGAAATCAGCCATGTACATTAACAAGACACATGCAAGCTGTACATAGCTGGAGAGAAACAGATCTAACGTATTCCATGAGTGTTAAACCCTTAACTAATTTTTACCTGGCAAAGGTTCATGGGTGCCCAGCTGCCGTATGGGAACAATGAAGGCATGCAGTCCTTTGCACTGGCCCTGAGTGTAGAGCTGAGCCAGAACAATGGCGTGGTTTGAAGTCTTTCCAACTGCAAAAGGAGTGGGAGTCAGAAGGAAAAAAAAAAACCCAAACCAAACAGTCAACATACTTACATACACAGAGTCTCTTTCCTTAAAGCAGGATCTGAGATTACCTTAACCGCATCATGTATTACAAAACCAGATTTACAACACTGTTATCGTCTGAATTCTACAGCTAGACAAACCAGTCAATGAAAGTTGCACAATACGATTCTCTTGACTACACAATACCAAGTCCTTGGCAAACCTACCAGTGGAGCTGAAGGAAGTATAAAGATTTTGATACAACTGATCAAAAGTTACACCAAATCCATACGGTGTGAATGAGTCTGAGAAACAACTCAGAACACACAGATAACCCAAAGTTTTAGTAGGCTCTGGTAAGTCTGTTACTTGCTGTGCAAGGGTAACTGCCTTTCAGCCAACTCTTCGGATCAACTTTCAATCATCATTCTGTAGATATAATAGGCATGACATCACCTCCCTAAGTTTTCTCACACATCTTCCAGATTTAGACACAGCGATGCACTTACGTCCACCTGGCCACCACTTTATGGAGGTCACTGTGGGGCTGTTGAGGATGAATTCCTGGGTAGCAGGGTCGTAAGTAGCTGTAGTTTCTAAACCCCGAAGATGAGTTCCTGAAAATAAGCAAATGCATTGTTTTGGCAGAAAGTCAGTCACAAAACAGAGACAAGGACAGAACTGGACAATGGAAAGTTGAACTCCAGTGGTACTGTACAGATTTTAACTTTGCTTTTAGGCTATATTAAGGACTAAATATCAACCAATTAAGGAAGAACAAGTGAGAGTCAGACCATATTCTGGGACCTGAAGCCAATTCTCAGAAAACATGTTGGTTTTTTTTCCCCAGTGGTCAAAGACTAGTTTTCCAAGCACCTCCAATCTGACACCTTTTTGCTATTACACACCAGAAGTCTTTTCTCAGCTAAAAAGGTCCACAAAACCACGCTCACCTGGATTTCACTAAAACCCCAATCTGATTAAATTGCAAAATAAAAATCATATACTTTTCAGCCACAAGGTGAAATAACTAGTCCCCATCATCTCTTCATTCCCTCATCAGGCCTATGTTCTCCTCACTTGATGGAGCAGTTTCTCCCAAATGAGATCATCCATAGCGTCAAGACAGGAAGAAATGGCATGCATATGCTAGGGTACTGATGCAGTTAGATGAAGAGACTGCAAAAAGATGAAGGTAACAACTCCAGGAACAGTCTTTGTCTTCCGCCCCCAACTCTCTACTTCACACACACCTGTCTCAGCAGCGGCATCATCCCTGCATGCGTGGAAAAAAAAAAGCCACTGGGCCTACTTGCTTAAACTACACAAGCTGCGAACACTCCTGATAGTCTGGACTGACAGAGCAAGGCAGAGCCAGTGACTCTACACAAGAGCTTCAACGTGAAAAAGGAAATCACCTTGGTGAACTACATTTCCAAAGCATGGAGTTAGTGGTAGACTTCCACAGGTAGCTTAACACAGACTTACTTTGCTGGTAAAGGATCTTCAAACCTCACTAGCGGCAAGAGATTCTCCACAGGCTTGCAGTTACTTTACGCTTCATACAGTCTCTACCTTTCACTTCAGCACAAAGGTGAATCCTATTTTAGAAAACAATTCTCATCTGCAACTCTCAAATGTTGAAATTAAAGTTTCCCAAGGCATAATATCTACCTTTTGAAATTTGGATTAAAAGTGTTGCAGTCACAATACTGCTGGAGTTACCAAAATCCATTTCAAAGCTTGAAAGCAGAGGAATAGTGAGAAATAACAAAGTCTACTGAAGACAGAGAATTAAAAAAAAACCCCAAAACATTTCATGGTCCAATTAAAAAGAACACATGGGAGTGAACTAAAGAACTAGGGGAAAAAAAACTCCCCAAAAAACATGAGCATTGGAACCAAGTATCCATATGTCCTCTGATCCAAGGTCAGTCCCAAGGTGAGAAGCAACTCTTAATTTTTTTGGCATCTCTTTTAGTACCTTAAAGCTCTGTCCTTTTGTCTTCACACTGACTGTTAAGTAGATCAAAGCAGAAATCACACTGGAAAGAATGGTAAGTGTAGAAATGAACAGATGTCATCGAATTGACATCACCATAGCCATATACAATAATCTATACTGGTTTGAATGGCACAAGAGGAGCACTCAGTATGCTCATATATAGAACTAGAGACATTAAACTCCCCCACAGGAGAAAAAAAAAGACAAGCAGCATGTGGCATAAGGATCTGTTAGACATTTCAAAGACAGTCCACTTTTCCCTGTAGCCACAACTGCATGCGCACAGACTGTGGGGTAAACGCACACCATTTTTCCCAGGCAGGGGAATCCTTTGTACACAAAGCCATTCTTAGAAATAGCATTTAGTGAATGTACTGTACCATGGCCCATTTCAGTCTGGGCATAAGTGCCAATGATCTCCAGGTTCCAGGCAGGCATGAAGAAGCGATCCTGCTGCTCTGGGGTTGCCTGGGTGAGAAGGGTGGGGAGGAACATGCCCAGATGAAGGTCCAGAGGCTCAGGCCGTCCACGATGAACAAAGCTGTGAAGAAGTGTCATGGGATGGGAGTGTGAAGGTAATGTTACGGGAGGGAAGCAAGCATGAGGATTCATGGTAAAGATTCAGGAAGAGACAAAAAGAAAAAAAAAAATGATTCATGTGTAAATCAGAATTCAGCAAGTGTATTTTAGAAAGCCAGAGCACTGTCCTTTTCTCAGACCTGAATAATAAGAAATTAAACTTACTGTGAAATAAACATGCTGCAATGCATTTCTTTCTAATCATATATAAAATACATTTGCAACATTCCTGTATTTTTGATGCACCATGATTGATAATAAAAAGGATTAAGCCAAACCAAAAGAAAGAGCAGACCTTCCCTATGGTTTGGAAACCAGAGCATCCCTAAGTTAAACAGGCTGAGTCAGAATGCCGGTTTGTTGAAGATGTGATCTGGCTGGATGAAGCGAGCCTTCACCCAAAGATATGAAGTCCACTTTTATTTTTTTTCCATGGTTTGAGGGTAGAACCTGGTAGAAGTCTCAGTTTATCCAGCTGAATGAGCTAGGTTTTTACTGAAATTTCTTTTTTTAAAAAAGGAAAGTCCTAACTGTTGGTCTTCTCTACTTCACTTTTTTTTATAAAATATCAGACTCAACTAGTGTGTATTACATTCCAACTCAACTCCTTTCAACTTTTGCTATTTTTAAAAGCTCTCTTAAAAGGACAGTGCTCTGCATGTGTAAGTCAAAGCTGTGAACATAAACAACTTGCCAAGAAAGCCAACATTTTTCAAACTGTAAATCACCAGCACAAAGTCTCTCCAGTTAAACGTGTTTCATTAGAACTACTCTTCCTCCAAGTGCTGTCAAACACCACTGTCAGGTAGTTAAGTGGTCTATTAAGTTTTTTCGATATAAAGAATTAAGTGCTCATTAAATCTTTAAATATTGATGTTGCTGAATATTAAAATAGTGGGGATATAGATTGAGGATCAGTATCTTCTGTACAAAGGCTGTCCATCTGGCACATTTATGTATGAAATAATGTAACTGTTCTTTAACAGAAATATATATGTATAAATGAGATATGCATTATGGAAAGAGCACTGATCCGAGCTCAGCTCAAACTCAGTTGGCATTTTTATCAAAGTGGGAAAATTGCATTCCTGTGCTACCTCTAAAAACACATTAACATGAACTAGCTCTAGCCCTAGAGCTTCCTAAGAACTGTAGTTCTTTTCTTTGATATTCTCATGCACCTACAAATAAATTCAACCATCTAATAAACCCAGTAGCAATATTTTCTAAGCTTTTTGACTGAACAGTGACCAAGCTCAACAGGGTGCTAATGGGTTATCAGGAATACCAGAGTTTAAGCGAGTTCAATACTGGCGAGAAGTACACAGCTGACAGTCAAAGACAAAGAAAATCCTTATTTACTAGCAATAGCTATAAACCAGGTAGAAACAGTACAGTATTTGCATTAGTCATTCTTGGTTCCTTCTCAGCCCTGTGCTATTTGTGCTTTTTCTTTTATTTTTTTTGAGCAACTCATTCACTATGAAGTAGGTTAAAATCGACACAGGCTATCAAGTAGGTACTCACTAAGATAAAACTGAGTAACTACCCAGCCTGGCTAGGATTCAATTCAATAATCCAGGGGTCTGTTTCCTCATTGCCAGTTTCTAAACATCAGGATTAACTTAAGCAGAGCTCATTGACAGTTACTGCAGAAGCTTTACTGCTGAAGTAGTTAAGATACTCAACATTCACAGCAGGAA